ATGTTGTAAAAAGTCATAACCAAAGGTTTTCAGCTGTGGCCATTTTTTAAAATATTAATAAAATAAAGATACAGAAAAGCACAATGCTTTCTATTAGAATAAAATAGCATGCAATTTTTCTGGGGGGGAGAAGTATGAAATGATATAAAATCTTTCTCTTTACTTCATTGACTATGCCACAGAAAAGCAGATCCAGTTGTTCAGCAGTATCGAAAAAATGTAAGGCCTCTACCCTTTGATAGTGTTTAAATTACTTAAGATTAGAATAAACACACTATTGAGGTAACCAAAATAGGTAAGAATGAAACTGCACCCAGAAGTCTGCACTGCAGAAGATTCAGTCATTCCAGTCATAGAACTGCAAGCAATTTCAAATTCAGCTCTGAGAACATGAATCACAATGTAGGTGGAACACTGAAAGTGTTATAATATGCATGCAATAACTAAGTAACATACTGTTACAAGATCACAGAGGAAGGAGAAAACAATTTTTATTTTGCAGACTGATAAAGATTTGCTACCACACTGGTAGGTCTGATTTCAACAGGTCAGAATGGAAGAAATGCATTCTTGGTGGAAAGGGGACAATGGGCCATGTTAAAAGCTTAGGGGTGTAATTTGGAGGCCCAGGAAGAGTTTCACAATAAATGGATTTATAGGGCAATGGAATGCAAATATCAATTTTAGAAGTTGGAAAGTGGGCAGTGTCATAGTTACTACCTGAAGCAGAAAAGAACAAGCTATGAACAAGTCCATCCAAGCTGCAGAAGCCTGAAGTTGAGCAAAGGGCTTGGGAAGAATCAATACATAACGCCCCTGTTTACCGCAGGGCTTACTTTTCTATCTCAAACCAAAAAGATATAATTTTCTCTCTATTCTCTTTTCTTTTTCTTTACTTTTATTTTTTTTAACAAAAGGCCATCATTTATTCATTCATCCTTCTGTGGGTAGATGCTATACCTTTGAAGCTAACTTTCAAAATTCAGCATTTTATTTTATAAATGTCACTGGAATTAGATTGTTTATAACCATAGTTCTTCTTTTTCTCTCTCCTTGATTTAGTCCTCTTTTATTTATTTTTGTTTTATATTATATTATTATTGAGGTAAAAGTGGTGTCTAACATTATATAAGTTTCAGGTGTATTCTATTACACTGACATCTGTATACATTGCAAAGGGATCACCGCCAGCAGTCTAGTGATCTTCCATCAACATAAATTGACCTCCTTTTTCTCTTTTTAAAGGCCATGTTCATTTTAATTTACCAACTAATAAAATCTACTTCCCATATGGGTGCAGTGACAGTGTGGGTCTCAGACACGCATGGAATTAAGCATTGTCATATAGGTAAATGTCTTCTAGAGCAGCCCCTAACTAGAGAGGAGGGTGGGGGCACTGCTGGCTAAGCTGAAGCAGCCACACCGTCAGTTTCAAGGCTGATCCTCCATAGCTGGGCTTGCCTTCCAGAGCTGTCACCCGCACGCCCTGCCTGTATAAAAACAGCCTCTCTCCACACTTACTCAGACAGGACTTCGATGAGAACAAATGTGTAAAACAAAACAACAAAAAAAAGGAGTATTCTCTGGTTCTGTCAATTTAGAGATGCCTTTAGGCAGTAATTAACTACATAAGGATAGAATCTAGACACAGCTAGAGACGGCTGTTTCTTTGCTCATTCAAATTCATGATCCATTTTCCTTTGGAACATTCCCGGAGTTTGTCAGAACATACGATCTCTGTCCCTGAAAATGTGGAGTCCATGATTTGGAATAAGTGAAATAATTTTGCCAGTTAGAAGATTTAGCAACATAGGTATTGAGTAGAGGTAATATATTTCATGGAGATGTCAAACCTGGTTATGTCTATAATCACCAGTTGCTAATTGTGCTCTTTATCTATCTACTTGGTGTAGACTGTGAGTCAACATGATTTTATGAGCCCTTTAAAAAATTAGATCAGAGAGTAAGTTTTTTTTAATTGAAATATAGTTGATTTACAATGTTGTGTTAGTTTCTGGTGTACGGCATAGTGATTCAGTTATACAAATACATATGTGTGTAGTATATATATATATATATATATATATATATATATTCTTTTTCAATTACTTTTTCATTACAGGTTATTTCAAACTATTGAATATAGTTCCCTGTGCTATACAGTTGGACCTTGTTGTTTATGTTTTGTATATAGTAGTTTGTATCTGCTAATTACAAACTCCTAATTTATTCCTCCTCCCTGCTAGAAAGTAAATTTTAAAAAATTAATTGCCCACCCCTTCAGCAATGGCATCTCCATTAACATCCTTATTTCTTTGTATATTCTTAAGACTAGGCATGATTAAGAAGTTAAATTAAGAGACTGTCAAAATCATTCATTTTCTGTGGTGTTTGAATACCTGAGCTGGCCCCGTAAGCAGATCGTACAATGTTGCTTTGCAGATGGACAGCATTCTGTCCCAATGCAGCGTTGTCTCAAAGGAGAAGGCGGCGGCGGAGCGTTTGGTCTATACCTTAGGAGTCAAGTTTGTTGGCTGGTTGCCGCGTCGTCTTTCTTGTTTTTATCATATGCTGTAAAGCTCGCAATAATATAGGATGCCAAAAAGAATTAAAATGCAGTTTCTTTCCCCCTAGATATTTTTGAATGCGGATACGATCCGGCTGGGAAACCTGCCGACGGGCTCTTTTTCCTCGTCTTCCCCCAGCTCCTCCAGCTCCCGGCAGACGGTGTACGAACTGTGCGTCTGCCCCAACGGCAAACTTTACCTGTCTCCGGCCGGGGTCGGGTCCACTTGTCAGTCCAGTAGCAGCATCTGCTTGTGGAGCTGAAGTGACTGATTTCTCCTCACACCAGAATAGCCTTTTGTTCCCGTCCGTCTGCTTCACAGTTCTGCTCCGTTTCCCTCGTGATCAGTCCAGAGCTTCTCCAAACGGTCCACAGAGCAACTCCTTCCCATGCAAGCAGGGATGTGCGCCACCCTCTCCGTGATTTACCGGACTGCTCAACACGGAGAGTGAGGGCCAGAACAGTGGGAAAACCATCTTTGGAAGGAAAACTGGATCATAACTCTTGCTCAGAAGGGAGGATAACATAGGTGCCTTTGCTACATGAAGTGAAGCACACAGTTTTAGATTTTTGCAGGACCTGGATATGGACTGCACATGTATACATTACATAGATGAAATTCGCGGTATCTGATGGCAAGATGAAATGGTTAACCCTGTAAGAAAACTAATTCTACAGTCTGAAAGCACAATTTTCCATTCATCTTTTTGGATGTCAACTTTTATCCCAAAATTTTAAAATTTTAAAGCATTATGTAATGCTTGCTTTACTAAAAATTAAATTCAGTACGTGATTTTTAACAAAAGACAAGGCAGAATCCCACCCTGAGTTTTATTTGTTTCTTTAAACTAACAATGTGTTGTTACTCTTTGTCTACTAAGTCTAGGATTTTGTACATTAGGTAATTTTGAAAGCTCTCAGCAATATAATCTTTCAGAATTAACAAAATGCCATTATACCGTCATCTGTTAGATCTGAATGGCCTTATGTAAGTATTTACTTGGCTACTGCATGTGACGTATTTGCTTTTAACAAAACATCTAATTTATTGCAATACAAGGTAGGATTAAGAGGGACATACTGATGGTGTGGAAATCATAGTCTGTTTTTTTTTAATTCACGTGCTATCCTATCCTTTACACCTAGGTTCCAATAGTACAATTTCTGTTTGCTTCATTCACTTTATACTTGACTTGGACTGCTAAAATTCACACATCCTCTAAATAAATAAAAACTACTGTGATGCCTAATGCTGAGAATGAATTCAATTTCCATTGAAATACCATCTACAGAATTATATCTATGTATTTTTATTAGTAACTAAGACTTAAGGATGCTAGAAATTAAATTAAAAATCCCTGTTTAAACAGTAAAATATACAAATGTTTAAAAATACGTTGAAAATGTGTTTACTCCATTAGATTCACATTTTAAGGAATTTAGTCACATTTCCTTTCAGCTCTTAACATTTAGTTACTTTTATTAGACTGTTCAGCTACCCTGACATCAGAAAGCATAGTTCTTCCCATCCTCCGCTGTTTATTTTTGTAAAGTAGCTCCTAATCACTCACTCCAGAATACTGTAGATTTGTTTATCACAACACTGCTTAACTCAAATTCTTGAAACTTACAGAATCCAAGAATATAAAATTGTATTAAATATTTCCTGTTTTGGGAAGATAACGTGATTACTGTAAGGTAAGTCCTTAATTTTCCCATGTCAATCCATCTTTTTCTCCCCCATACACATGGTAACACGTGTGTGGAGGTTTCATTTTGGGAGACCATGAGTGCAGAGTCTTTGGAATGCAGGACTTTATAGCACAGGATGAAGGGGAAGATTGGAATTTGGACAAATTTGGACCAAGTAGGAACTACGAGTAATGCAAGCAGCAAAGTGAACCATTTGCCCAGAATTATCCTGTTTGGATAACCTATCAAATACCTGGAACAGCTCTGTTTTCACTAAATATATTCTGTACTCAGCAGAAAAGTCAGAAAGCTAGTGCAGTTTTATTACTTTTGAAATAGAACTTGACTTGTGCTTGGGGATTATTATATACAAATTCGAGTCAATATTGGAGTAAGAATTAAGGTATGCAATTGCTTAAAAATGTCATATCCTAACATAGGAGTTTAATTTATTTAAGTTAAAACATTCAAATTTAGTATGAGAAATTCTTAGATTGGTTTTTGCATAACACAAAGTGTAACGAAATTTTGAGAAATTATGAGTGCTAATCACTGTATTACGGACTTTTTAGGAAAACACTGTGTATTAATTTCAGACATATTCAAGTTCTAAACATCCCTAAATTAAAACAATTAGGAATTTTCTTAGTCAAATGGGAACAATTCTTCTGATTAGTGATTAGCCCTGTTTCTAATCTCAGCTCTGTTTGTACTAATCAGTGAGCTGATTTCAGCAGTCTGGGAATATCTCCAGGCTTCAGTGTATTCAACTTTACAACAATAGTATTGAATCATATGGTCTCTAGAGATTCCTTCCAGCTCTAACACATTTTAATTCCAAGAGTGACTAGTATGGAAGTTGGAAGGGGTCATCAAAATTTTAAACTATATGTCATGAGAGGAGAAAAGATAAAAAGTGTAAAAACCAATTCCAGTGAGGGGCTATCAAGTATTGAATTCACATGTATTTTGAAATGTTATAAACACAATTCAAAAAAATGTATAAGATTTAGACAATATCTAGAAGATGTAAAACCATCTGCTCAATATAGCAGAAAAAAATAGTGATACAGGTGGCTTTTCTATCCAACACTAAATAGTTGGTTTAAATTACTTGACTGGCTGTTTTAGATTCCTTAGAATCTAAGTATAAACAGCCTCAGAGTTCAGGCTTCTATCAAAGGCACAGAAGATTGTTTCAGGAAGTCTGATTTCCTCATAAAAGAAGGCTTGGTTCTTTCTTGACACAGTTTCCTTGATTGCAGACTACCCAGATTCATTATCAGGTCTTCCAGTACCATTTCTATGTTACAAAAATACAAATATAGTGCAGTTTACCTAGATGCAAATTTCATCTTTACCAAATTACGCTCAGAAAAGTGATTCTTTTAAAATGTACTACATGAACCCTAAACTTGGTATCCAGCTTAACTGGAGAAGATAGGAAAAGAAGGAGGGAAGAGGATAGGAAAGAAGGGTAGCAAAAAGGAAGGAAACTGACAGTATTGCCAGCACTTAAATTCTTAGCTGAGAAAAGATAACCTGAGAAGTATCTGAGTTCACATTTTGAGGTCAAAAGGAGAGAAGCAAAGAGGATATTTTTTTTTCTTCCAGAAGATTTCAGTAAGACACATCCAAAAAAAAAAAGTCCAAATTTCCTCTAAAATCACTATACTTCTTAATCCTATTTTTTCTCTTCTTTTATTATGAACCATAAGCTTTATAATCTGGTATAAAATTATTTAAGAATTTAAGATAATTTTATGCTTCATATTTTACATTAACCTGGAAATGTTAGATTTCAGTTCCTCAAATCTCTGAAAATGGAGCCAGAAGTTCAAGTTGTGGTTCTGCCCCTCCCCACTCATGTGACCTTAAAGAAATATATTTAATTATCTTGGCCACAGTGTACTTCTCTTTGCGAGGGGTACACCAAACTAGAAGCTTTCTGTGGCTACTTTCGTCTCTAACTTTCACTGATTAAGACAAGACTCAGCAATCTTGAGTTCAGCACTAGCTGTTACTGATCTCCTTCTATTCCCTTACATGTTGTTTATAAATGTTGAAATGCAAATTCTCCAGCATCCAATTCCTTTTCCCTTTTCTATACTCCCTTTGTTGCTCTAACCATTTGAACATGAATCTCCGTTTCTGAAAATCATGCTTTCTTGACAAACTTCAGTAATGTGGTTAATATTAAAGAGAAAAACAATGTATTTAGTTCTTATTAAAGATGATTATTTATGAAATTAATAGAAATATTTACCAAATATTAATACTCTGTTGATCATTCTATTATTACTTATCTCCATCAAACTAAAAAGCATTGGTCTTTTGAAGAAACGGTAATTTGATCGTGAAGGTCAGTTGCTAAATGTTCTGTAACATGTTATGCCATTCAGAGTTCCTACATATTTTGCCACCTGAATTACTCAGGTGGACAGTGCCTCATTTTATAAACCTGGTATTTGATACAGTAAAACTCTTCATAATTTGTCACTGCAAACATGGTATCCCTGTATGAGGCAGCAGTAGGTAGAGGGATGGAGACTGTTTAATGCATTTAAGTGCTGTATTTCATAGCAGGTAATATCAATATCATAATATTAAATTATTAAAATAGCTGGAGATATTTAATAGCCAAATTCTCTATATAGCCATCAAAACCAAACTCACCTTTGAGTCTCCTACGAGTGAGGTCTTGTCACCTTATTCTTCTAGTAGCTTTGGTCTAATTAGAATTGCTCATGTGACCATATTTAAAGATACTTGGAGAAATTATTTTCCTCTATGTACTAGTGTATATTATAGTAATGAATATTACAAAATGTTATTATCACAAAGTAAAAGAATATTGCATTATTATTCTTTTAAAATAATCATAAGCTAATGAATGATCGCATTGTACACTGTCATTCACATTGTTTTATATCGCACTTCATTTGCTGTTTAAATGTCAAAGACCAAAGACTGGGATTTCTGTTGCATTTAACTCTACAACACTGCTGCTTCTACTCATTAATTCAAATGAATAGGAGGGTTTATAATTGTAACATGAGGTAGTAAACATACTCCTTGCAGAATTCTGAGCTGTAGATCATTGATTAGTGCTTTTGTTTTAGAAGGATAACTTCATTAGTGTAGTCCACTTACCTTTTACACATGCATAACGGACACCTTGCTATTCATAAAACCAGTATATAAAGAGTATATCCTAAAATGGGCCCAGGATGGATTTACTCAGCTGAGTTTAAACTTTCATTGCTTGCTAAAAATTCTTTGGAAAATACAATTAATTCGAAATTCTTTTAGAACCAGAGGGCTATTTTTTAAGTGTTGACTGAAGCAGTTCCACTCTTTGAGAAAGTCAGTGAGAAACATGAAAGAAAATGAGGTATAACGAACTGTGATTCTTTCTGTTTTTGCAGTCTTAATATCTCATTTGTTTGACTATTTATAAATAAAAGCCAAACAGGGTTAAAGATGTGCAAAGACATTTACTAACAATGGAAATATGTAATTTCAAGTTTGAGTATCTCGTTATTTATACAATTCTTTAAACCAGGTCCAC